TATTCCCTCCCTCCCCTCCACCCTTCCAAACTTTCGCCATCCAGCGCCCAGTGGTGGAGGCCGAACCGAACCTGCGACAAAAGGATAAAAGGCCTGACTGATCTGCTCGGAACCACTTCGGGTGTCATGCTTGCGCTTGTCTGTGTCACAGCTGGATTATATTAATGCTGGGCCTTGTCTCTCGTCCACATTCCCATCCTTCGACCCTCCACTAATCACGTCTTTTTTTGCGCAACAAGCACATTCTCCGCCCATACCAACTGCACCCTCTCTCTAACCCTTTGTCCCTCCCCCCTTGCCGCTGCGATTCGCCCGAGCTCCTAACGTCTCTGTCTGATTAAACGAAAAACCCCCCCGTGTCGACCATCCCTCCCTTTGCCTTCAAAGGGCACATGAGGGCGATCTGCAAGATTCGAACTTCCTGGAGCATGCACGGAGCATAGTAACGTCGCAATACTTACTGCCGATTTCGATCTACGGCTACTTGCTGGGCCGTGGGTGGACAAAGCAAACCGCTTTTTATCAAGCTCTTGTCACCTTGCGTTATTGACGGCCTCCCTCCCTCCTTCCTCCGCCTAGCATTTCTCGCCTGCCACGCTACTTCTCCCTTTCGTTGCCCCCCTTCGATCCTGTATAATTTGTACAGCGCCTGACCGCGTCTATTCTGGACCCGTTCCAAATCCTATTCTTCGGCAACGTCTTCGCTGCCGCCCTATCTCTCCTCCATCCCTTTCCTTTGGTGTCCTGAATCTTCGCTCCTTTGTAAGTTTACACCTCATCGAACAGTTCGCGACTGGCTACAGGTGCTTTGATCTCCAGTCTGATCGGATGGCTGACTCGTGCAGTTCGATATTCACCAGTCACCTCGTGCCTCGATCCACCCATTACGGGGCGTATAATTATCCGTATCACTTCAGCCTCATTGTCATCTAGTGTATCAGGAACGATAGTGCAGGGATAACGACATCATACAAGACCCTTACAGTCGGCTACGAACGACTATTCATACGGTGAACATTTACGGTGTGGTTCATATCTACGGGGAGGATTCATAATGGCTTCCAACCAGAATTCAGTTCATAATGTACGTGGTGTCCGGACAAGCGGCAAGTGGACTGGCTCGTTGACTGCTACACAGGTTCGTTCAAGCCGGTCGGGGAATATGAATTCATCGGGGTTTAATGGTGAGAGGACGCGAGGAGCTCCCTCGAGTATGGGGACAGGCTTCGGTGGTGGAAACGGAAACTGGAATGGCAGTATATGGGCAAGCGGTTTGGATGGTACGCAGCTCCTTGGACAGTTGTCTACTTGGGATATTGCCGCTGACATGGACCTTATAGACCAGCACACTGTGGAGAATGCTTTCGAGGGCAAGGCTGGGTCAAGTTCTTTGCTCTCGTCTTCCGAATCCGATGGATGGAATAGCCGTCCCAACCTCCCATGGACTACGATCAACACATCGGCGGCCACCTTGTCGCGAGCTCCGAATAGCGGCATGACTACATCTCCCGTACAAACACGCGCCAATGAGCGCAGCGCGACTGGTATTCCTGATAGTACCGACTCTTCTTCATATTTTGCCCTGCCCAAGTCGGGGATTGGATCAAGTGGCGGTGCTGGGCATAAAGCTTACCTGAGCACCGGGTCGGACGGCATCTCGCCGTCAGGCGAGGGCATGAGCCTTGGCAATTTCGGAATGAGAAACGCTGATGGCAGGCGGCAGGTGAACACTTCTGCCTTTGGCGGTAGCCCTGTGGGATCTGGGTTTCCGATCAAGGCAGGGTTCACAAGCCCACTGGACAATCAAAGATCAGATGATGTGACCACGTCGATGGGCATGTCAACCCTGCAGTCTGCTCTACCCGATTACATGACGCAGCACATGGGCCGCAACTCCTATTCCCATACTGCGCATAACTCGGCTTCCTTCGCACCACAACGACCATCTCACTCCACCTACCCGTCTTTCCACTCCGAGAGCCAGGGCTACGAGGGACGGTCTGGTAGTGGCTCCGTCGATCTTGGCTCTGGTTTTAACAAGCTGCAGCTGAACGAGGGCAACTTCTCGGGACATCCGGGCCTTAATCGTCCAGCCTACTTACCACACAAATCGTATGATGCCAGTCTGACGCGCTTGAAATACCAGAACGGTGGTGACGAGAGCGAGTACCAACTTCCGCCCGGTTATGGTAACGAAGGTGTGCCGACAGAGCTACCATTGGGATACCAGCCGAGTAGATCTCGTGTCCAGGACACAAACCCGATATCTCCTACTGAGTATCGCATTGACAGCCCCTTCTATGCCCAGGATAATGGCGCACACTTTCGGACCGGTTCCGCAGGTCAAGTGACGGGGAATGCAGCTGCCCTGCTGGAGCAGAAGCTACGAGCCGAGCAGGAGCTTTCGCAGCAGGCAGTCAATCCACTGCACAGGGTCCAAATTCCTCCTGCTTATGATCTTGCGGGTTATCAAGCACAGAGACTCAACGCCCTCTCGTTTTACCATCCTGTCGCCCAGATTGGCGCAGCAGCCCTTGTCTCTCGGGGTCATCGTGACCATGATCCTTCACAAGTGGTCAGGAGTCCAGTGCTAGAGGAGTTCAGGGCTCAAAACAAGGGGAACAAGCGCTACGAGCTGAAGGTGAGTAATGGTCAGGTCGGGTCTCGGAAAAAGTATGTTGCTAATTTCGAGTCAGGATATCTATGGGCACATCGTGGAATTCAGTGGCGACCAGCACGGGTCGCGCTTCATTCAACAGAAGCTAGAGACGGCCAACAGCGATGAGAAGGAACAGGTGTTCCGCGAGATCCAGTCCAACAGCTTGCAGTTGATGACGGATGTGTTCGGCAACTACGTTGTTCAGAAGCTCTTTGAACACGGAAACCAGACCCAGAAGAAGATTTTGGCAAACCAGATGAAGGGACACATCCTGTCCCTGTCTACCCAAATGTACGGGTGCCGCGTGGTGCAAAAGGTAAGTGTCTTCTGCTCGGCTCCCAATACGAAATACTAATCTGCGACAGGCATTGGAACACATCCTCACCGATCAGCAAGCATCAATGGTCAAAGAACTGGAGACCCAAGTGATTCGCTGTGTTCGGGACCAGAACGGCAATCATGTCATCCAGAAGGCCATCGAGAGAGTCCCGTCTCAATACGTCCAGTTTATCATAAATGCCTTCAAGGGCCAAGTTGACCGACTGGCTACACACCCATATGGGTGCCGTGTCATTCAGCGCATGCTGGAGCACTGCGAGGAAGCGGACCGGGAGTCTATCTTGGGTGAACTGCATGCCTGCACGTCAAAGTTGATCACGGATCAGTTTGGCAACTATGTCATCCAGCATGTCATCGAGAATGGTGAAGATAAAGACCGGTCTCGCATGATCACAGTGGTGATGTCGCAACTCTTGACTTACTCCAAGCACAAGTTCGCCAGCAATGTGGTCGAGAAGAGCATTGAATACGGCGAGGAGTCTCAACGTCGGCAGATGATTAGCACGCTGACGAGTGTCAACGAGCGCGGCGACAGCCCCTTGATCAGCCTCATGCGTGATCAGTACGGCAACTATGTGATCCGTAAGTTGCATTCCAAGCCGCCCATGTTATGACTACTAACTTCCGTTACAGAAAAGATCCTTGGACAGCTGGAGGACACGTCCGAAGAGAAGTACAGTCTGGCCGTACGCATCCAGCCGATGCTTGATCAATTGAAGAAGTTCAGTTATGGCAAGCAGATCGTGGCGATTGAAAAGCTGATTGGGGGGGTCATGCCACCCGCCGGCGCTCCCCTGGCCCACGCAGCCACATCGACGACGCCTCCCAACTCGCACAAGTCCTCCCCCCAGCCTTCCAAAAGGGCTGTGAATGGTGTCGAGAACTGCCGTGCTCCTGTGGTTGGCGCCGCTCCCCCGACCCCGCCTCCCACCGATACGCAGAGCAATGCTGATGGCTCCTCGGAATCTAAGCATACGGCGAAAAGCACGGTGACGCCCTTGGCGGAATGCGAGTCGGCCAACCCGGTCACCAGCGACTCTGTCGAAGTCACTGGCAGCACCTAGGCCTGTTACGTTCCGAACGTTATTCTTACTTCTTATGAAATATATCTTTATAACTGGTCACGCACATTCTCCCAACTTGCTTCTAATACTTGGGGATATACATATTATGGGCGTGAAAGAGGCTTAGAAGCGCGGAGCTTCATTACCTTCATGCCCAGCTTCATGGCTTTATGGCGCTACAACGAGGGTGACGGCGGAAACTGATGTCTTTTTTCTATTCTTACATTGCTTTCAATTTACGCCTCCAGCCCTCCTTTCACTTCTTGATACTTTTTTTTCTACCCCTCTACCCATTTAATTGCTTGTCGATGTATTCCCCTTCTTCTGTTACTCTGAAGTTCGACGTCATGAAAATGAGGACACGCCTCCATAGCTTATCAATGTTTTCTGTTTCTCTTTGTCCACACACACACACGAGGGGCCGGCGTCTTTATTGGTGAATAACGGGTTCATGGGACATCGCGCTTGATTTTCCTCGATGGGTTACAAAACGGGACCTTGGACATGGACATATGGGAGACCTGGAAATAGGGAGAATATAAGGGATGCCTAGAGTATGTAGAGGCCTTGCTGTCTCGGTATACAGACGATCAAAATGAAAAGCATTGCCGTTGCTGATTCAACTATCGCATTCAAGTAGTTATTGTAGAGGAACTGCAGTAATTTCACGTAACTAACCAACCAACTTTGTTCTCCCTCCGCTCCCACCTTATCACTCCCTTATCGTCACGTGACACTAAGCTCCCTCCATCGCCGCATGACTCGCCGATCCAGACCTTCGCCTCTCCAGCAGCCATAATATCTACCATCCTCAACCACCACACACCCACCTTCCACACCCATAAACCAACCCTCACAACAAACTACACAACACCTCACAACCACAAGGCCCAGAACCAGACAACTACAGAAAGAAGACCACAAAACATATAAACAAAATGTCCTCCAACGTCGGCCTCTCCACCCCCCGAGGCAGCGGCACCTCCGGCTACGTACAACGCAACTTCGCATTCATGAAGCCCCGCAACGCCGGGTACGGCGCGCCCTACCCACCCGTCAGCGGCGCGAACTCCTCCTCCGATCACCCGTTAGACAAGCCCTTCAAGCAGCGCCAACCCGACAAGCAGATCCTGGAACATGATCGGCGGCGCGCAATCGAAGTGAAGGTTATGGAGGAAAGGGAGAGGTTGGAGGAGGAGAATGAGAGGATTGAGGAGGAGATGGGGCAGAAATCGAAGAAGAAGAAGGGATCCAAGAAGGAGGAGGATGAGGTGAAGAAGGAGGAGGGTGAAGAGGATGAGGATGAGGAGGGTGAAGAGAAGGTGTTGACGGAGGAGGAGATTGATGAGAGGTGTGAGGCGTTGAGGAAGAGGTTGGTTAGGGAGATGGAGGAAGAGGAAAAGGAGAGGGAACGTGGAAATGGAGGAGGGAATGGTGGTGGTGGTGCAGGGAGACGCGGTCGTAGGGCGTGGGATTTGCCGCCTAAGGAGAGACGCCAGTTTAAGAGTTATCAGGTGCATGAGTTGGCGGAGGCGAAGATTGAGGAGAGTGAGAGGTTGAGGAGGGCGTTGGGGATTAAGGAGGAGAAATAGGTTTTTCTTTTTGATTGATTTGGGACATGGGGTGGGTTTTATGATTTCCAGTTGTTCTTCTTCTTGTTGTTTTATTATGGTGTTAGTGGTTGGTATGGGTGCTGGTTACGTTTTCATTATTGTTATGGCTATGGCAGATTCATATTTTTGCATCATCATCACTTTTGTAATTGTAAGCGTCTGGTATATGTATATACATTATGCGACAAATTTTTCTATCACCCATCCCTCCTTCGCATCCTTTCTCTGGATGACCTTCTTGGCTGGTAGTGGCCACCGCGCTCCGCCGGCCTCACCCACCAGTGACGGGATCACCCAGCATGATCGCCGTTGAGGAATACCCTCGATCAACTCCGTCTTGCCAATTGGCTTGCCGTACTCGATCAATGGCGTTCCGTGTGCCAGCGCAGAGAGCTGCAGCCCGCTGGGCGTGGCGAGAGGATACATCCGGATCTTAGGGGTCTGGTCTGCGGACACGATGGATGGCGACGATTGCTGGAGATGCGAGTAGACAATGTACTGGGGCATCTCCTTGGCGGAGAGCTGCGCAATGACAGACGACGGGTGCACATAGACAACCTTTTCGTCCAGCTCCAAGCCCGGTCCGTCACGAGACCTCATCAGCGTGAAGTAGGGAACATCGATGGCTCGCTTGGGGGTACGGTGCATCTCAGGCGGGACGGGCGCAAGGTCCGCGCGGAGAGCAACATTGTCGATGAACCCGGCCGTGATGATCTGCTTGATGGCCTTCACCTGCTTCTCGGTCGGTTCGGGCAAGCGTGCCTGATAGGCTTGAACCAGACCCGGGTTGTTGCTGCGCACGATGTCCGTCAGCTGGCGACGGAGCTGCGTGGCTTCCTTGAAGGCCTTTGCGCGCAAGAACATCTTGTCGCAGAACGCGTCGCCGTCGGAGGCGTATCCGTAGGCGCAAATTGCCGATAGGTACTTCAGTGCGTCGGATGTGTCATCGTGCTTGCTGAAAAGACGGTGAACCCGAGCGTAGTCCTTGTGGCGCTGCTCCCGGGCGGTGTCTTCGAGACGGTCCGCGTTCGTGTATACACCGTTGCGCTCATTGTCGTCCTTCGCTGGTGTAGGATCGATCTGGTTCTCGGGAACAAACAGATCGCCGACTGCGAGGGCGGAAACAAGTGCGATGACGTACGGCATACAGCCGTGCTGGTGGCCGACGTACAGCATCTTGCCGAACCGGGGAGACAGAGGGTATGTCGATAGGCGGTTACCTATTTGCGTGATCTGGCCTTCGGATGTGAGTGCGCCCAGGTTCTTGAGGAGCTTTTCAGCCTTGGCTAGACCCTCGCGGCTGGGAGGTGTAGGGAATGGGAAGTTGATGACATTGTGAAGTCCCATGCTCTTCATCTGAAGTACGACACCCTCGATCGGCGTCCGCAGAATCTCGGGGTCAGTGTATTCGGCGAATTCGTTCTCGTAGATTGCCGAAGAGTACAGACGGTAGCAATGACCAGGTCCAGTTCTACCAGCACGTCCAGCTCGCTGGTTGGCACTGGCCTTGCTGATCCATTCAATTTGGAACTTCTGGACACCTGTTGCGAGATCGTACTGCTTCTCCTTTGCTCTACCACAGTCGAACACGTACTTTATACCTGGGATTGTAAGACTTGTTTCAGCCACGTTGGTGGCTAAGACAATAAGTCGGGAGCCTTCCGGCGGGGGTTCGAAAACCCTAAGTTGCTCCTTGGTAGGAAGCTGAGAATACAATGGAAGCACGTGAACTCGTGTCGTCGAGCTCATGGCCTCTTCACCCAGATCAAACTCGTCCTCATCTTCCTCGGGTTCATCCAGTCCAGTGATTTCGTAATCACTCTCGTCATCTTCCTGGTTGCCAGCAAGTGACAGATCGGTACCGCCGATCTCGAAATCTTCCGCCTCCAGTGGTGCATCGTTGGCAGAGATCTGGACCCTGGCTTGAGTGGCTTCGCCGCGCTGGGTGGGTTTGAAGGCCTGCTTCAAACGCTTGGACAGCTGACGGATTTCGTTCTGTCCGGTCATGAACACAAGCATCCCGCCCGGAGGCAGCTTGCGGTGACCTCTCGACACCTTGCGGAATGCCTCTTCGATATAATCGCGGTTGGTACGTCGGGAGAAGTGGATGGTGACAGGATACTGGCGACCTTGTGCTTGAACCAAAGGTGGCGGTCCTTGACGGAAGAGGTTCGGGTTTTGTGTAAAATCGGAGATGCGCAGGGTGGCAGACATGACCACGAGCTTCAGAGGCTTGACGGACGGGTCTTCCTCCTGCATAGCCTTCCGCAAGTCGACAATGCGGCTGACCATTCCAATGAGAATATCGGTGTTGACGCTCCGTTCGTGGGCTTCATCAATCACAATGACCGAATACTTGCTAAGGGAAAAGTCTTCGGCAATTTCACGGATGAGGATACCGTCGGTCATGAACTTGATTGCGGTCTTGCTGGATGCCGTACTCTCAAAGCGAATCTGGTAGGAGACTTGGTCGGAGAATTCGCCCAGCTCTTCGCCTACACGCTTCGCCATACTGACTGCTGCGACTCGGCGTGGTTGAGTTACTCCGATCATGCCTGGATTGGGGCTATTGGGGTTGCCATAGCCCGCTTCGAAGAGGAATTGGGGAAGCTGGGTTGTCTTTCCGGAACCAGTAGCACCCCATATCACGATCGAGGAGTTATTGTAGATTGCTTCCATGATCTTCTGTTCCTCGCCAACAACCGGCAGTCCCAAGCGTGCATTTTGTATTTCCTCTGACCGGTTGACCTGGACACTAAAGGCTTTCCGGTTGGGATCCCCCGTGGTGACCTGAAGTTCCAAGGGCAAGGGTTCCTCCTCGGCAACGGTGTTCCTGACTGGCTTCTTGCGTTCTGGAATGAACGCCTGCTCCTCGACGACTGGAACAGTGGTAGGCTTGAAACCGATGGCATCATTGATCTGCTGTCTGGCCCAAGATTTGAAGGCGGATTGTCGAGGTTGGCCCACTTTATGCTTCTCTTCCTCTTCGCCTTCTTCGTCGTCATCTTCCTCACTCTCTTCATCGTCTTCCTCGCTATCATCCTCATCTTCGTCATCATCGCCCTCACCCTCACTGCCGCTTTCGTCACTTGAGCCATCGGACGATGTTCCCTCTGAATCTTCATCTTCGCCCTCTTCGGATTCCTCGTCTTCGTCTTGATCCTCATCTGAGCCAAATCCTTCCCACGGCACTTCCGGCATCGTGATGGTTATCTCTGGTTTCTTAGCAACCTGCTTTCGCTTCTTGAGAACCGGAAACCCATCCGGACCGAGTTCCAGAGGGCGCTTCAACCCGATACCGGTCGCTGGGTTCTCTGCGGGCTTTTGCGCGGGGGCTTCGGATTTAGATTCGTTAACAGTGGTCTTCGATTGGGGCAACGAATCGTCCGAATCGTCGTCCGAAAAGTCTAGGTCCTGATCCTGGCGCGAGTCGTGATCCGCGGTTCTAGATACGGCCGGTACTTCATCTTGTCGCTTGCGCTTTCCTAGTTCCTTGGAGCTCTGGAGGGCCGAGGTATCAACCTTGGATTGCGCGAGCTTTTTAAGCAGCTCGAGATTCTCTTCTTTCTTCAGCTTGTTTTCCTGTCCAAAGTGTTAGATATAACGATAGAGGATGGCCAACATAGAGGCGCACGCACGATATACTTGTCCAAGCGCTTCTGCTTCTTGGAAGAAACCTGAGCGTGCTGTGCTCGCAATTCTTCCTTTAGCTTCTGCCGTTTAGCTTCCTTCTCATCCTTGGAGACGGGCGCAATTTCGGCAACATTGGTGTCTACCGGAGCGGTTGTTGCCTCCCTCTGCTTGTGCTTTTGCTTTCGCTGGCGGGGGACAAACTTGGGCATGATCACTAGACTTGACCCTTTGTCTTAATTGCAAGACAAAATTAACCAGGTCCCAGACTGAAAGTAAAAGTGAAGAGCGATAAGAGAGTGCCGTGAAAAAAATCAGGCGGCGGCCACATTCTGCCCGCAAAGCGGTGAGTATAGCCTCACCGCCTAGGATGTACTTCACGGCCAGTCACCCCTCTTCACTCTTCTCTCTCCTCTTCTTCTGCTTCGTCGCGTTTCCTTGTGTTTATCACAGTGTTATTGTTCTATTCTTATCTTTTTTCCCATCATCCTAAGAAGAGAACTTGTGCATCACATTGCTTGTCAGGGTATCTCATAAACTTAAATCACATTAAAAACAACCATGGATAGTGAACCTTTTGACATCAACCAACTCCAGGATCTAAACCTGCCCTACCCCGCAGTCACGAAGCAGGTTGTGGGAGATGTCAAGGGTATCCAGACAAATGTCACCTTGATCAAATTCAGTGATAGGATTCTAATCACTATCTCACAGAAAGGCCGACTAGGACATTGGGTTAGTCAATGATCATGCCATGCTCTTCTCATCTCAACTAACCTACTTCAGCTGCACGTGCCACTTGAGAACAAAAACCCAGGAACAGAGGGCTTTCACACCATCTCCGAGCCTGCTGAGGACAGTCTTCTTCCTATTGGCAATCTGACTGCCACGTCACTCCTCGGTGGCCGGGCTCCTGGACATGAAGTAGTTGGTCAGCTTTATGCTCGTCAAATCGCCAGTGCCATTGTCACCAAGACGCCCAATGAGAAACGTATGCTCGTTTTGGGGCTTGGGCTTGAAACTGCCGACGCCGATCGAGATGTTTTCTTTGCCGTCATTGACCTCGTGCTGCAATGCATCTAACGAGCCAATAAGGTGGCCCAATGACATGACCAAATCTATGCCAGGAACTACCACTTACCGAACTATATCCTCAGCATCATCCCTACGTCGCATGAGCTGCACGCACGGGTCCTGCCTCGCGAGTATTAGGTTGGTGAGACGTCTTCGCTCCATTCTAGTGAAGCCCACGAATATCAGTCTTCCAAGGACCGTGAAGGCCCCACTGAATAGAGCCTGGACCAAATCTTTCTCGTCAAACCCGGGGATTTTCCAATTTTCAGTGACAG